GATCAAAGTAGAACAAAGCAGGCAGAGCCAAAAACCCGAAGATTAGTATATGGAGGAGGAGTGCCATGCAGACGTTCAAAGGGAGTTTGATTATGGATGACAGGGGTAGGAGCACAATTGATAGTGTAGATAGCAGTGAGGGCAGCTTCCCCCCAAAAGTTTTCAGGGCAGGAAGAAGAGAGAAGGAGAGCGCGAGTAGTGTCAAGAATATGCCTATGTTTCCGTTCAGCACGACCATTTTGCTGGGACGTGCCAGCACAGAAACGATGAGGCAGTGTACCATGACTCTGAAAAAAAGGAAAGAAAATCTGAATCCCGATATTCCATAGCATTGTCAGAGCGAAAAAGTTTGATGGTTTTGGAAAATTGGGTGTGGATCATTTGGGCAAATTTATAATAAAGGGTTTTGAGTTTAGACAGAGTTTTCATGAGAAAAATCCAAGTAAACCGTGAAAAATCATCAATAAAAATAACAAAATAACGAGATCCCCCCATAGTAGTAGTAGGGGAGGGGCCCCAAATATCCGAATGTATAAGATCAAAAGGTGCACAGGAAACAGAAGTACTTTATTGAATGATAAAGCAGGTTGTTTGGCAAGTTGACAGGGTATATAATCGAAAGTATCTGGAAGTACATGACCCAATTGTCCACTAGAAACCAAAGACTTTAAGCGATTAACAGAAATATGCCCTAAGCAACAATGCCAAAGATAAAAAGGAGATAATGAGGAAGCAGATGCAGGAGCAGCGATCTGAGGAGAGTCAGGAACATGAAGGTGAATAAGCTCATAGAGACGTCCGTGCTTACGACCGATCCCAATAGTCTGCCCTGTCTGAGGGTCCTGCACCAAACAATGAGTAGCAGAAAATGTGACAGTTAGACCAAGTTCACATAATTGACCAATGGAGATAAGGTTTAAAGTGAGAGCAGGGATATGATAAACTTGAGGTAAAGTTAAGGAAGATGTGGAAACAGTACCAAGATGACGGACAGTCATGAGAGAACCATCAAACAGATCCAGGAGCAGCGATCTGAGGAGAGTCAGGAACATGAAGGTGAATGAGCTTATAGAGACGTCCGTGCTTACGGCCGATCTCAATAGTCTGCCCCGTCTGAGGTTCCTGCACCAAACAATGAGTAGCAGAAAAGGTGACAGTTAGACCAAGTTCACATAATTGACCAATAGAGATAAGGTTTAAAGTGAGAGCAGGGATATGATAAACTTGAGGTAAAGATAAAGAAAATGTGGAAACAATACCAATATGACGGACAGTCATGAGAGAACCATCAGCAGTTTGAATTGAGGGAATATGAGGAGATGAAGAGATAGAAGAAAATATAGTAGAACTGGAGGTCATATGATTACAACAGGCAAAGTCAAAATACCAAGAAGAGTTACTTGGAATCACAGACAAAGTAGTAGGAGGAGATGTACCGGAAGGGGAGAGAAGGTGTTTGAACATGGCCTCTACATCCGTTGGAGAAAAGAGAGGGGTAGACGGAGCAGGAGACTCAGAAAAACCCTCAGAGGTAGCAGCAGCAGTGTAATGAGATTGATTCCCGGAATGAGACTGATTCCCATGAGACTGATTCCCGAAACGATGAAAGCTCCCCCGGAAAGAACCACCGCGAGAAGAGTGGCTGTTAGAGGATGAGCGGAGGGATTGCGAAAACAATCCTGTTACAGATGACCAGGACTAAGTTTGTTGTAGTATCGGCAGGTTCTGACGGGGCAATTGACCAGGAGATGTGTTGAAGGAAGGCCCCGATTCTGACAATAGAGGCAGGCAGTGGTCCGCTGGGTAAATGATGGCCGGTACGGAGGAGTGGCAAGAACAGAGTCCACATGATGAGTTTGGAGAGTACCTAGACGAGTCTCCTCTGATAGCAGCTCAGAAATAGCTTGTTCCAGAGTTGGCAAAGGATGGTGATGAAGAGAGGCACGTACGGGCTCAAAAGATGAAGTGAAAGCCATGAGAAAGTGCACCAACCTTTGCTGATTACAATGGGCAGTAAATAAGACAGCATTTTCGCGGTGAGGCCAAGTCGGTTCGGAAAGAGCAAGTTGGTCCCAAACGGAGTACATTTGAGAAAGGAAGTCATTAATGGACTGACTAGAGTCTTGGCGCATCCGATGAAGTTGGCTCTGAAGTTGATATTGATGAGCAAGACCAGTAGTCTGGTATCGTTCTTTCAAAAAATCCCAGATGTCTTTTGCAGGAGTAGTGACAGAGTCAAGCTGAAAGCAACCAAACTGAAGACTGATAGAGGTAACAGAGGTAGTTCGAAACCAGGTAATGATTTGGTAATTTTTACTGTCTCATTCCTCAAGTCGGTCTTCATATGTAGTAGTAGCAGTGGAAACAGTAGTTTCAGCAGTGTCTTTCACTGGTTGGGTACCATCCCCGGTGATAATTCGTCAGAGCTTCTTTTCTTTGAGGAAGGAAGACATGGCTTGGGCCCATAGAACATAGTTGGAACCATTCAAAATAACGAAAATGGGATGAGAGGCATCATGACGATCCATAATACAGGTTGAATAGGGTTAAAGCAATATGAATAGACCTGTAGGAGCAAATTTAGGTAAAACAGAGTGTACCAGTGAGTCCGGAAGGTCGAAAATAGCAAGGAAAGATATGCTGTACAGAGATGATGTCAGCAATGATGTCAGCAGCGCACGTTACCAGAGTGTAGGGAGGAGCACGTTAGCAGGAAGGCGGCGGCGCACGGTAGTGAACAAGCACAGGAGCGGCGCACAGTAGCTGTTTTGGCGCACGCAGGTGCACACTAGTGAAGCAGCGCACGAGAGGCGTACAGTAGCAGGCGCGGCGTACGGGAGCGGTAGGGCTGACGTCAGCCGCGAACGTGTGGGCGCGTGTGGGCGCGTGGCGGAAGTGAGCTGCAACAGATGGCGCGTACAGGCGCATGTGAGAGTGGTGGCGGAAGTGGTGACGCGCCGAGAACAAAGGCGGCGCGTGTGGGCGCGTGGAAGGTTTTCTGAGGACAGGCTTGGTGCCGTTGGAATCGTGAGGAAATTCCGAGCAGTTTGATGTAGTGCCACTGTGTACGGGACTAAACACCAAAATCGAAAATTGCCAGAAATGTAACACTGGGCTCTGATACCATGAAACAATAGTTTGAGAGAGTGAGAGAGAGAGAGCAACTGTATATGAAACAACAGTTTGAGAAAGTGAGAGAGAGAGCAATTGAATAGCTCTGTATTAATCTATAATGTTGTGTATCTATTTACAAAGAGAATGAGCTCTCTTTATAGAGAGAAGATGGATACAATGGAGCACCGAAAGCATAAAGGTTACATTAAACAATATAAGCACTAATGCTAAAGCTGAAAGTGTGGTAGTGAGTGTTTGCCTTTACAGATAATTTACAGCTACAATATCTAATGTATATGATATATTAACATTATTATTGAACTCCACGCACATTTATTGCTCCTAAAAAGTTCTAGATTGGAGACATGTTGTTCGGGCTTATGAAGCTCATCATAAATTTTGTTTCGATAATTTGAATAGTTTTTAGAGCTCTTCGTGTATGTATCATTTTGACAAAAAAATTAGGTTAATTCGACAATTATACCATCTTCATTTTATCTTGTTTGTTTTTTAGAAAATGAACCATAGGTATATTTTTTAAAATAGATCATTTATATTTTTAAGACAAACTCAATAAAATAAATATGGTACAATTATCGAATTGACCTAATTTTTAATATGGATAATATACATGAAGAGTTTTAAAAAATGAATATTTAAATAATTAAAACAAGACTGTGATAAGTTTCAAAACAATGAATCTCTAGTCTAGATTGACTGAAGAGCCATAATTTTACCTTTTTCTTTCTAATTAATTTGTAAGGGTTACATGACAAATCCAACAACGAAACACATTACTCCTATAAGGGTTCAACTTGTGTCCAGTTTGAGATCGAACTGGACAGTACTATTGGACCCATGGGGGTTCATCGCGGATTCCGTTTTGATAATCCCAACCGTTCAATGTGTAAAATTCGTCGGGTATTATATGTCTTTAAAACATCACGTTGATTGAATATCGATAGTTATGTGATCAAAACAGTTTTTTATCAACTGTTAATTTGTTCACCGTCTATTTTTTTTATACAAAACTGATTTGACCATTTGATTTTTTAAAGACATATAGTACTCGACGAATTCTACACATTGAACGTTCGGATTATCAAAATGGAACTTGTAGTGAGCCCTCACAAGCCTAACAATACCGTCCAATCTAATCTCAGACTGGACACAAACTGCTCCCCTTCTATAAAAGGCCTAACTTTTGAAGTAGTGTTTGGCATTCCTAATCTTCTCCTATTGATGTACATTCATGTTATAAAACTTTCTTGTGGAATTGGTTTCAATTTGCAAGTCTATTGTGTTTTGTACTTACCAATTTAAGATATAATAATTAATATTGTTTTGAGATATTTCTTGATCATTTTGAAACAAGCTAATAACCCATAATTTTAAGACATAACTGACTTCAATCAAACTAACCTATTTTGATTTGACGTGATAAATTTCACTTTTGTTTTAACTCATAAGAATTTTCGACATAATAATTAAAACCACATTATTACTATTAGTACAAAACTTGACTCAATTTGCATACGACTGGAATTAGTTACGATAAAGTGTTATGTAAGGGCTTTTTAGGTAATTTTCAACAGAAAAAACAAAAAATTAGGGTTGTTACATAAGGTGAAAAAATGTTTCTAGAGAAAAAGCTTTCTCTTGCCATTGTTGGTTAGTCTCATCTCTCGCTCATCACTCTCTCTTATTTCCTTTTCCTTCATTCACGCCGCTTTCATTTCCACAATCACACATTTCTTTCCCATCTGCCAAACAAAACAAAACAATGACGTGACTCTCTCTTCTTCTCCACTCCATCACCCTCTTCCATTTTCCAATTCCATCTCTCTCTCTAGAAAATTTTTCAATTCCATCTCTCTCTCTAGAAAATGTCTGAATTATGCTTGTCAAACACTCCCAAGAAGACTTCTAGTCCCCTTCTCTCTGAATTGCTCTTCTTTTTCTCTTTCATTCTCTCTCACCCTATCTACTTGTCTTACTTCATCTTGTTCTCACCCTACCTTCTCAAGCTTCTCTCATTTCTCTCTCCTCTTTTCATCACCACCTCCCTCCTCCTCCTCTCTCTTCTCTCCCTCTCTCCAGGCCTCCTCCATCTCAACAACCCTCCTCACCATTTCTCTCAATCCAAACTGGGTTTCTTTTTCCTCCTCTCCACAGCATACAATGCACTTATACAGAGACTAATTTCGTCGAACACAGACAACACTGAAGAACACCAACAGTCTCATCATCATCATCCCTTTGAGGACCTTGAAGCATTCAAAATCGTTTTCGACATTTCAACTTTCTACTCAACAGAGAATGCAGATCAAGTGTTTGAGTTTAAATCCGACCAAGAAAATAGCTTCGAATCGCCTCTTCTCAAGTCATCCATTGATGAGTGCTCTGGTTTGAGTACACTTGAATCGTTGTTTGCTGATTTAGAAGAGAGAACAGTCGAAATTGATTCGCGACAGATCAGTGAAACTGATCAGTCTATCAAGGAAACAGAGAGATTAGAAGGGTTGTTGAATGAATTGGATGAGTTTGAAAACATGATTTACAGTGTGGAAGAGAAGAAGAACAAAGCTGAGCTAGCACCGAGCACCAAGTCCGAGAAAGTCCAAGTTTCATTGGTGAGAAGCGAATCCGAGGCAATTAAAGCGAGTTCTGACAGTGGTGGACAACAGAGACAGACTACTTCCCAAAGAATTCATGGGAGTGTCAACATCTCGGACAATGGTGGAGAGGACACTTTGAAATTGTTGGAAAGTCAGAGTTCCCAAACATTGGATTCGAGTTTTGGGAGCTACGGATCGCTGAGGAGAGAGAAAGATTGGAAAAGGACATTGGCGTGCAAGCTTTTCGAGGAGCGACACAATGTGGATGGTGTCGAAGGGATGGATTTGCTTTGGGAAACGCACGAAATTGATTCGAAGGCCAAGCCGAATAACAAGAACAAGAACAAGAGCAAAAAGAAAAAGAAAGGCGGGTCCGATTACTACTACGAGGACGATAATGGTGATGATGGTGATGAAGGGGAAGAGGACGTGGATGCGAAATTGTGTTGTTTGCAAGCTCTGAAATTCTCAGCAGGGAAGATGAATTTGGGGATGAGGAAGCCTAATCTTGTAAAGATTTCCAAGGCAATCAAAGGGATTGGATTGTTTTACAAGCATGGCAAAAAGGGGTACAATTAAGATGGATTTATTTGTCTTTAACTAGCTTCCACATGTTATTTAATTTGCATAACAAAATGTGTGTATTTATTTTGAAAAAATTATTAGTATATATATATATATATGTTCTTTCTTGTTTGTACTAATTACATGATGAAGAAGAATCAATTTATCCTTCTTTACTTTAGAGTACTTTTTTTTGGTTGTTCTGTCATGATGGGTTAAGCTCATGTTTGGCCTTGTACATATTTTCTTAGCTTGTTAGGTCCTTTTCCTCAGCTTTATTTTTTCAGAAGAAAAAAAAATCCATTAAAAGACAAAAATAAAATTAGTTTTTTTCTCTTTCAAAAGAAGGAAAGAAAAAATTGAAAAAGGTTGGATATTTTTGTCTTTAGTAGATTTCTTAAAAATAAATTTACAAACTTAACTTTTGTTGCTGATTAGTTTTGATAGACTTAAAAAGTAAAAAAAATTGACTCAAATTTTTTTTAAAAAAAATCATTAAAAATATATAAAAAAAGGACAATTTATAAGCTACATTAAAAAAAATATCAATAATGGCAACTTAATTTTAAATTATGTGTTTAGTTATGAATTTTGAATATAATTTTTGAATTGAGTTTGATATGTTTTTAAATTGTGTGTTTAATTATAAATTTTGAAATTTTTTAATTAGAATCACAATTCGAAAACAACATCAACGCGGCCTAAATAGTTCAATTAAACAGCACCAAGCAACTCTTTTCACGTGTAAAAAAAAAAAATCCACTCAAAAATCGATGTGGCAATACATTAATGTTTGGATCTGGATTCTCTGCCACACTTTCTTCTTAATATTTCTATTAATATTTATTAATGTGACTGATAGAGTAGCACTTTAGACAAGAAGGTGCTACTGTTAGTAATTTGGTTTTAGGAATGATAGAAACTTAACTTTGGTGAGGCATGCTGTGATTATTTGATGGAGAAGCTACCACATAAACAGAAGCTCTTAACACAATGCCTAACTATGATATTATTCTTTCACTGGAATGTCATATTTGCATGCACACCTTATAACTACCTGAGGGAAGTCCACTGTTGCCATTTGATGATGCTTTTCTTATGAGAAAGGATACAATCACACCCGTTTACACATATGGTGTGTGTTTGGGTGAGTAATTTAGTTTGATTATAGCATTGCTCCTGCCTTATTTAATCCCAGATGGAGTCAGACTAACTAAATTTATTGCTACAATTAGCAAACAAAGTTTTAGATAATACTAACCAATCAGGAAATGGATTTGGTTAATTGGAAACCTTACACATATATAGGATTGGAATTCTAAGATTTGCATTTTGCTTTGTGGCAAGGGGAAGAGAAGCTTTGGCATAACATTAGTAAGACCAAGGCCCTACTCTCAATTGGTGTCTCATACAATACAAGTTCCATTCATGTTTAGTTTCCACTTTCCAAGGGCTGAAATCTACAACAACAAAACTATATGGTTGCTGTGTATTCTGCACTTTTTGACTGATCCCATCCCAGATTTATCAAATGTAGGATGGTTTTGAGTGGACTTGGGACAAGAAACCTTGTCCAATGATAACCATATTCGGACAACCGGGATCCTCTGCTCCCAAAATTCTTGTCCCTCTCTTAATCTATTTCTAGTTGCACAATTGTGTCTCGAGATTTCAATGTTTAAAGATTCTCACCACATTGTGCAGTTGGAAGTGTATTAAGAACATGGAATATCTTGGCCTTTGCCCATTTTGATGCTTCCCAATCTTTTTAGTTGCACAGCCAAGCCAAAACAAGAGACCCTAATTATATCAATGTTTACTGACTTTGAACTATTTTATACAAAAACAGAAAACAACCCACCTTGCAATTCTATCAATGTTCTTCAAAACCTCAATATGAATGTATGTTTGTACACTGTATAGAGATACCTAATTCTTGAACCTTCCCATCTTCATACTTAACGTGAAAGCTATTGATTCATTTGATGACTGTCCTTTCCATCCAAAAAACCACTCACTGTCACTTGCAAAAACTTCTTCCCCCCCCCCCCCCCCCCCCCCTTCTCTTCTATTTTTGGCCCTCCGTTGTTAAGTCAATAGCTAGCAAATTCCTTTCCCTTACGACTCGGTCCTGCACCATCACCCCCCGGTTGAGTCGGATTAGCCTCATTCGGACCCTCTTCTCCTCCTTTTTTCACATTCGGACCCTCTTCTCCTTTTTTCACATATTTAATGAGGAAGTGATTCGCATGCGAAGGCCAAACAGGTCTGTAGAACCTGATCACTCCGTCAGGCTCCAAAATGCGCTCTTCAACATACTCATCCCACCCGTCCAAAACAATACAGGCATCAGTACAATAGTAGTAGATGTTCATGTACCAATCCTTGCCTCGATCATCGGTCAATTTCAGTATATTCCGCCTGTCATTCGCTGGACCAATCATAATCCTGGGAAGATAGTTTGTCACTATTGCACTAGGAATAAAAAGCCTGAAGTACCCAGTATCGTTTGCATTCAACTGATACTGAAACAGGAAATTTTCAGGCCTGAATTCAGGAGGAACCCCAATGTCTACTGACTGTTCCACACTACCACTAGTAGTCCCAGTTCCTTGATGATCCTGTTCTCGATCAAAGTCAATTTCGAAATGATTTCTATGTAGGCACGGGAGAGGTGTAGAGATTCGGATGACATGGTAGGGTTGCAAATTGTAATTGTTGGCAAATTGCTTCCACCCTTTTGTGACCATGAAGGCTTTTTCATCTTCATAGTTTATGATTGTCATGTACCATTCGTTGCCTTGGTAGTCGGTGAGTTGCAGAGTCGCTTCATTCTGTTCACCACCAGCCAGAGGAGGGAAAAAGTCTGCTGCTATTGGGGTAGGGATGAGGAGCCTGTTGCTCCAATTTGTTTCCATTTCAAACAGCATAATTGCACCCTCTGGCCATTTGTATTCGTCCAAATCAGACAAGGAGTATTCTTCATTCGAGCTGATGGTATCAGTTTTGTCTTCTGGATCGGGTTTGGTTCTCTCAGATGATTCTCTGCAACAAGGGAAGGATTGAGGTAATTAATACGAAGCCAATTTGATCAAAGTAGCTGAAACATATATATAAATCAAGTACAATGCTGCAAGTGTATGATGAGCTATCCTATTGCAATCAATTGAAAAGGGAAAAAAAAATATTACTTACACGAAATTCGTGCTCAAAGGGTGCTACAAAATTGGTTTCAAAATAGAGGCAAGGATGTGTGTGAACAGAATTCATGCAAAAAATAGAGGCTCCTGTCCCTATGGTTCCAAAAAAACTTGGATCCATCGAACCATTAAATCGGTTTGGTTTGATATATATTTCATATTACTAAAATATAAAATTGACAAATTGACAACAACTAGTGTGATGAAGTTGGTTGAAGTATGTTAATTTTAAATTGATTTAGGCTCCGTTTGGCAAGAGCTAAACGGGACTTTTTTGGCTATTTTAGCCACAAAAGACAAAATAGGCTATTTTAGCCCAAAAAAATAAAATATCACATCCAACTCATAATCATTACATTCTTCTTTCACAAAAAAGCCAAAAAACTTTTCCCAAACCAAACTTTTTAGCCCAGGCTAAAATAGTCAAAAAAGTCAAAAAGCCAACCCACTTTCCAAACGGAGGCTCACTGATTCTATTGATTTTTGTCAATGCCCTTAATTGAAATATGTGAACAAAATTAATTATAATTTGCAATACACTTAACTTTAAATCTTCACCCTACCCATCTTTTTTATTAAAATTATCGCACATAACACCCGAGATACTGTAAACTCCAAGTTCCGCCAACCAACTAATTATAATTTACCTTTTTTATCATCCAATAGCTGCAAAGTGATGAAACAGAAGTTTGACACGAAGAAGATATATAATGTTTCATTCATTCCAAGTTAATTATCCTTCTTTTTCACATGCAACTCTGTATATGCATGTACATACATATACAATACATACACACGTACATGTACAATAAAAGAAAAGAATCAAGAAGTTATTCAAGAAAGACCCTGAAACTCTGTTGTTACAATTAACCTCCTATGGTACGAACGTTTATCATTACAGTGGGGGTTTACAAGGGGTAAAACAAAGATCATAAAAATAACAAACAACCCTAGGGTGGGTTTCTGTTTGGTTGCCGAGAAAAGGGAAGAAACTGGTATTAAATTTGACTACCCAACTTTTTTTTTTTTTTTGCAAGCAAGAAAACTTATGTCTATATAAGCATATGCATTCAATCACATATTGATGATGATACACATATAAAAAAGATTGAAGATGAAACCCATATGTACCCAGATTCAATCCACGAGTGTCGCTTCTTGATGGGCAAATCAGTCAACCCATATGTACCCAGATTCAATCCACGAGTGTCGCTTCTTGATGGGCAAATCAGTCTTTTTATCATCAGTCTCCATTGGAGTTGAAGAAGACGATACATTTCCTTCTTTGGAGACTTGTTTTTCTTTCTCTTTCTCTTCTTCTTCTTCTTCTTCTCGTTGTTGAACATCCATGTCTTCATCTTCAGAAGAACCAGTAAGGTCCACAACCATCTTGTCATCGGCCCGAGTTTGAGTTGGAGTTGGAATTGAAGAAGACGATACATTTTCTTCTGTGGCTGTCTTCTTTTCTTGTTCATCATCGGAGAACTTCAACTTTTTGCCTCCTTCATCGTCATCATCATCGTCATCATTATCAATGTTAATGACTCTTTTTACAGACATTTTTCTTGATCTTTCTTGAATACAGTGAGTACTTGCGAAGGCTAAATGTCTTGGAGAAAGAGAGAGCGAGAGAGAGAGAGAGGGCTTGGTAAAGAAATATTTATAGTTAGCTGCTGGTAATGATCAGTTCGTAGCTTTCAACGTATTATACTCTGTAGTAGTTATTATACTTCGCAGTTAAAATGGTTTGTTGTCTACTTGTATGTAGGTTTGATGTTTACAAAAAAACCCAGAAATCGTTGAAAACAGTAGCAGTTATTCGGTGTAGCGACGATGAGGGATTAACAGGGAACATAATCATTTGTGATTAATATGTGGTATATTCCCCCTCGTGTCTCATGTTTGGCTCATGAAGGAACGCCAAATAATTTTTTCTAAAAATTAGGAGCAACCAAATCATAACCAATTAATTGTGTCCAATTTATTTATTTTTCATGGGTTTTACATTGTTTATAAGGAAAGTAACATACCAGTTGGATAAATAACTGCGCTAGAGATTAAAAATAAAATAAGATTGGCACATGTTTGACACATATGAAACATACATATGAAACGTTTATACCACATACGATGAAAAAAAGAATCACTGTATTTGGTTTGAGTTTTCTGAATTAAATTTTTTGAAAATTGAATTTTTTGATTTTCGTATTTTTTTGTTTTTAGTGAATATTTTTAAATTTTAAACATTTTTTTTTACTTTTTTAGATGCACCTTACTTAGATGTGTCTAAAAAGTAAAAAAATTGTGAAAAAATATTTTTAAAAATTAAGAAATACATAAAAATACAAAATACGTACTAAATTCTTGTATTTTTTTTGTATTTTTGGTATTTAGTGAATTTTTAAAAGATTTTTTTTACAATATTTTTACTTTTTAGGTGTATTTATATTAGGTGTGTCTAAAAAGTAAAAAAATTGCATAAAATATTAAAAAAATTCAGTAAAAACAAAAAAAACACAAAAAATAAGAGTGTAGAATTTTCTGAAAACTGTATTTAAAAAATGGGAACCAAGTATTTTACTGTCCAATTGAAATACAATTTCTTATTTATATAATTCATCCTAATAATTAATACCGTGTACATAAATTAATCACAAAATTAGACATTACACAACACAAAAGTATACGATCCACTTCATGTGAGAGAGTTATGTCGGATTATAGGATTTTTTTGTGTTGCTAAAGTTTTTCTAAGACCACTCCTCCATTCACTGGACGATCCATTACTGGTCTTATTTCGATGATTCGAATCGTCCATTTTGTTAGGTGCATCGTGTATTTAATTTTAAAAAAATTAAATCGATTCGATAATCATAACCTATTGAATTTATAATGTTTATCACCCAAAAAAAAAAAGATTTATTTTTAAAAATACAATTATTGTTAATTTATTTATAATAAAAATAAATTAAATAAATTACAATTATCGAATAAATTTAATTTTTTTAAAATAAAATATATAAAATGTCTGATAAAATAACAGTTCAAATAAATAAATAAAAAAAGGGTACTCCTAAGGGACCCATGGGCCAAGAAGTTACTCTAATCCATATTCAATGATTAGTAGAGCAAAACGGCTTTTTTTCCTTTCAAGAAAAAAAATAAAATAAAATTGCCTATTTGATATGATCCAACAAAAATAGTTTTCCTATCAAATTTATAAAAAGATAATTTTATCTTTAATACTTTCAAAATTTTAACTATGTTTCTACAAGGATTTCACAATACTTTTTTTTTTTTGGTACAACGGAATTAAACCAACAAAAGGAGGAACTAAGTGCTCTTCTTGCCCAATCCTATCATATCAGAAACAAGCAGCTCTCTTAACTCTACTGATGGATTATTCATCACCAGTATTTCTTCGGGTTGGTTGGCTCCCATTTTTGCCAAAAAATCAGCACACAAATTGCCTTCTTTCCATACATGTTGCACAGAGCATTCACACCCTCTGACAAGAATCTGGGCATCCTCCACCAAGTTCTTGAAAGGGCATCTATCCCCTGGTTCTTCTTGTAGCAATTGCACCACCTGTTCAGCATCCGTCTCAATCATGACCTGGTTCATTCCTTTTTGTAGTATGATAGTCAACCATTTGTATACAGCCCACAATTCAGCTTCTAGACTGGTTCCACTGTGCAATTTTCCATAGTAACCACACACCCAAGTTCCTCTTTCATATCTGATTAGGCCCCCAAATCCTCCATCGCCACCAACTCTCTTGCTGCCATCCGTATTTAATTTTGGTCTACCTACAGGTGGAAGACACCAATTAATAATTCTGAATGCAGGTTTGGTCTTGGATATAGATTGAAGGAATGCTTGGTTAATCTCTCTAGAATAATCCAAAATAAAATTAAAACTCTCTTGACTTGGAGTAGATTTTTGTTCAAAAATCATTAAATTCCTATTCTTCCAAATTTTCCATAAGGAAATAGTAAAAACAGATTGCCAAGAGATGGTGTCGTTAAAAAGTTCTTTGTTTTTGGCATTACTCTTGAGCCAATCCAACCAAGGCATCTTCATCATATCCCGGTACCAATTTTGATTAAAAATAGCTAGCCACACTTCCTTTACTTTGAAACAGTCCCTAAAGAGGTGTGACATATCCTCCACCCCACAACAATTAGGGCATTTAGGATCATCAGTCAGATCCCTTTTTAATCTCATTTGATTGGTAAGTAGTTTCCCATGGAACACAGTCCAAAGGAAGCCTTTGAGTTTTTGGGATATTCGTATCCTCCATAACCAATTCCAATCCTCCTCATTCTCAGTCTCACCAAGGATGAGGTTATACACAGATGAAACATTGAAAGAACCAGCAGATGACCCCTTCCAGAGGGGACTATCCATCTCCCAAATGCCTGGATGAGGATTATTCAAGATCAAAGATGCAATGTTAGGAGTGCATAATCTGTGAACTTTGATCTCATTCCAACTGCCATCAGAATTAAGCAGCTCTTTCACATTATTATCAAAATTGCAATTATTGTGTAAGTTTTGGTTAGTATTGGATTCAAGGTCCACAAAGGCCTTGTCTCCATACCACCAATCCTTCCACACATTCACATTGTTACCATTACCAACAGTTCATTTCACACCCTTTTTGAAGATGTTACAAGTTTTCATGATACCTCTCCATAAATGAGAGGCTCTTTTGTTGTTATGTCAATTATACAGAGAGGTATTTCTCAAGTATTTGGTTTTGAGCAACTCACATCACATATCACCTTTTTTACTAAGCAGGTTCCACCATAGTTTAGTTAACAAAGCCAGATTCTGATCTCTGGCCTTTTTTATTCCCAGGTCACCCTGACTTTTCATTCTACAAACAACATCCCAATTAACAAGGTGGATTCTTTTTCTTTCCAAGGTATCACCCCATAAGAAGTTTTTGTTCAATCTGTCAATGTCATTACTTACTCTTTTAGGAATAAGCATAGTTTGCATGGTGTAGAAAGGTATGGCAGAGCCTACTGACTTAATGAGAGTAGCTCTGCCAGACATAGATAATAGGTTAGACTTCCATCCTGCCAGTCTTCTTTGCATTTTCTCCAAGACATCATGAAAATGTCTTCTATTAATTCTGCCATAAATGAGAGGGACTCCCAGGTATTTCCCTAACTCACAGGTTTGTTAGGGAGATACCACATTTGGTGCTCAGCTCTTTAGCCCTCTTTCTGTCAACATTGGAGGAAACAAACATCTTGGATTTGTGGGGGTTAACCCTTAATCCAGAGATATCAAAAAATTTCTCCATAACAGTCATAATTATGTTACAAGTTTCCATGGTAGCTTGGCCAAACAACATGAGATCATCCGCAAAGAACAAGTGAGTGAGGCTAAGACCACCTCTAGTAACTTGTATCCCCTTCCAACTCTTGTTCTCAGCCTTGAAGCTTATCATGTTTGATAGCCTCTCCATGCATAAGACAAAGAGGTAAGGGGATAAAGGGCCGCCTTGTCTCAAACCCCTGTGGCGTTGAAATTCCTCAAGAGGTTCCCCATTCCAAATAATAGCAGTCCTCACAGTAGTAACACAACACGTAACAATATCAATGAAGTTTTTATCAAAATTGAACTCCTCAAGGGTTTGTTTTAAGAAATCCCAAGATATGTTGTCATAGGCTTTTTCCAAGTCAACTTTTAAAATCATGCCCCCCTGCTTCCCTTTTTAAAGGTTTAAAGAGTGGATGATTTCTTGAGTTATGATTATATTATCACTAGTGTTTCTCCCAAGTATGAAGCTACATTGATTGGATCTAACAATTTTACTCAAGAAAGGTCTAATTCTACTAACAAGGATTTTAGAGATAATCTTATAGGTCACATTACATAGACTAATAGGCCTAAATTGTTTAATGTTCTCTGGATTTTCAACTTTAGGAATTAAGGCAACAAGAGTTCTGTTAATCTCAACAGGAATATGCTTGTTGTGAAAACAAGTTTTGACAAAGTCACAAATAAAAGGACCAACAATAGACCAGTAGTTATGATAAAATATAGCTTGAAACCCATCTCTACCAGGTGCTTTGAAAGCACTAATATTTTTCACAGCTTTCCAAACCTCCTCATCGGTGACATTACAAGTAATAAGGGCATTCTCAGTCTCATTCAATTTACTACTCCCCAGATTGCTCCAATGTTCAAGAGTACTAGCAATGGATTGGCTAAACAGATTTACGAAAAAATTAGTGATCATGGTTTTTAGAAAGATAGGTTGGTTGATCCAGATGCCTTCCTCATTTTTCAGAACATCAATTCTTCTTCTTCTCCTTTTGGTCAGAGTTGTAAGGTGAAAGAATTTGGTATTTCTCTCACCCTAGGTGATCCATGTAGCACGGGATTTTTGAAACCACAAAAGTTCTTCCTGAGAGAGAATTTTGTTATACTGTTCAACAAGGTCCAATTCTAAGGTGTGGAGACTATGAGAATAAATGTTGGCTTGGGATTTCTATATGCCTTCAATCCGTCTAAGAAGCCACATTTTTTTTGCGAAAAATATTACCAAAAACTTCTTTATTTCAAACACTGGCTCCATGAGCAAGAGTTTCAAGCTTACTTAATAGAGATGGGTGAGGATTGGTCCAGCTCTTAGTAACCACAGATTTGAAGTCATCATGAGTAATCCAAGCAATAAGGAATTTAAACAGCTTACAAGTAGGATTAAAAGGAGACATACCTTGTGTGAACACCATCATAGGGGAATGGTCAGAATATGTGTGAGGCAAGTTGTGAACAGCTCCATCAGGAAAGCTAGTTCTCCACTCCGTATTACACATAGCTCTATCCAGCCTAACCATGGTATTAGCCCATCCTTTCTGATTATTAGACCAAGTTAGCCTCGGTCCTGAGCAGCCTAAATCCATTAGCCTACAGTTACTCATCCTCTCATTAAACTTCCTACTTCTTATGTGGTCTTGGCTCTAGCTCAGAGTTTGATTACCAATGAAGCTCCTTTTTTCATTACTGGTGGAGAAGTCATTAAAATCCCCTGCAACTAGCCAAGGATCAGTCATATTCTGCAAAATTGCTTCTAGGTACTCCCAAAGTTCTTCACGTTTGTTGTTGTTTAGGCTTGCATAGACTGCTGAAAGTAGCCAATCTGGGAAGTCTTGTCTGGATATAGTTGTTGTAATCAATTGGGAACTAGCCTCAACTACTCTAACATTAACCATATTTGGATTCCAAATCATCCAAATGCCTCCACTGCAGCCAATCGGATCCACATGAGCAAAAGCAGTGAAGCCCATGCAATTAAAGAACATTCCCATAGATTTAAATTCCACTTTGGTCTCCATAAGTATGAGTAACTCTGGTTTATGGATTTGAACTAGTTCTCTCATGGTTCTCTTAAACCTTTGATTTCCTGCCCCCCTGCAATTCCAGATCAACATATCCATGGAAGGTATGGTATGGTTTGGTATTCGGGACTAATCTTTAAGAGCCAGATAGGCCCTCATAGCTTTGTGGTTTTCTTCCATCGATTTCATGGGAGATATCATCACATAGTGCAGATTCTGACCTGCCTCCACTTGCCTCCATGGCTAGATTCTCACTTTTACTTCCTCGTTCCATCCTTCTGAGGCGATGAGGTGAAACACTTCTTTCCCTGGTGTAAGGACCACCTATAATGATATTTTTACTATTTTGACAAAAAAAGAAAAGATTAATTTCATTTTTATTTCTTAAATTATTTTTATTTTTTTTATTTTTTTTTAAACTATTAATTTTGTCTATTTAATTTTTAATTTTTTTTATTTCAATTTATATGATTCAATGAAGATAATTTGAACAAAATTGGTAATCGTATGTCAATACCTAAACTAATGGGTAAGAATATAATTTTACAATCTAAACAATGTAAATCATACAAGCAAACACTCATTACAGGAAAATATAATTCCGACAACCAAAATTGCCGACTAAAATTAATTTAATCCGCAAAAGTATCACTTTTAGTTATTAAATTAATTTCAGTCAATATTTTTCTTAAATTTGGAAACTAAAAAATAATAATTCGTTGAAAACAAAGTTTTGAGTGACTAAATGGCTAATTAGTCGCACAATAATTGGTGCAAAACCTAAGTTTTGTGCAAAAATGAGCGAATTTTATTAACAAATAATTAAATGACTTTTATCAACAAGTTTTGGTCACCAAAAAATTTAGTTTGGGCAACTAAATATATTAGTGCCGATTGTCTTTCAAATTTTGGAGGGAACCTTTTGAATTTTGGAGGGATTTTTCAAATTAATTGGTGATGGGAAAAAGAAATTAATTTTAAGATTTAAACAACTAGCTTCGTTTTTAAGTGGCGACTAAGTCGTATAGTCAAAAAAAAAAAAAACTAGGATTTCAAAAAACTTCGTCGATTTATTTATAGCTACTAATTTTTTTGGTGGGCAAATGGTTCTTTCTCTCCCTTTGTCTTCAGCGTCGTCAATGCAGAAGCACTATCAGCGTCGTTGGCAATGTTGCACATGAGCATCATTGCAAACTAGTAGCCTATATCATCTTATCTGGCAGTCACGATCCACCATTGGAGCATTATCCTAAGAACTCACCTCCCTTTTTAAAATAGTGAATACAAAATTGTTTTTAATTGCATGATTTAAATTGTTTAAATTTTGAAATGATGTTTTTTGTCCATCACTTTAGACTTAAATGGTTATTGATTTGGACAAAAGTAGACCATATGAATTGAAATATATATAGGGATTAAATAGACAAAATTGTAAGTTTAGGGATGAAATAGAAATATATATATATATATATATATAATATGTGAGATTTACAGAAAAATCAAAGTTTCATTTTATATATCTATCTTTGAGAGATATTTATTGTAAGCTTTCTTTGAAAGCAAAAATACTATTTGATCTTATAAAAGTGTTGCAAACACTGTGTTCTTGATATTTTTAAGTTTTTTTTTTTATTTTTTAAATCCACTTAATCTAGATACACTTAAAATATAAAATTTGTGAAAAAATATTTTCTAAAATTCAAATACACAAAAGAGTTTTTTTAATATTATATTTATTAAATTATTTTTAGATTTTTTCACAAATATTTTACTTTTTAAATACATTTAGATTAGTTGCTTTTAAAAAAAATTTTAAAAATTGATTAAAATATTTAAAAAGTTCACTAAATAAAACAAAATATGAAAAATAAAAAAAATAAAAACTCAAAACCAAATTGAGTGTTTACTTTTGAGCCTTCTATTTAGTGCTTGGCTTTTTCTTTATTTATTTTTTCTTTTTTTTCAAAATAAATCAAAATGTGAAAAAGTTTTAAAAAAATAATTTGTAATCAACTAAGCGAAAAGTCACTCAATTTTTTCACCCACAAATTACCACTCCACTTTCAAAATGCATCAATTTTTTTGGGAGGTAAATTACATTGACTTCCCTTGAAATTTAGAAAAAATGTAGTAAGTTTGTTCGTGCCATATTCAAATCAACTAATTAATATGCAAATAGGAATCTTTTTTTTTTTTTAACATAGGGAAATAAGAGTCTGCCAATCAAAGGAAAGCATGTGGTATGCTGGGAGAAGAACGAGTCTGAATCCTCTGTCACCCTTCCCTGCAGGGCTTCCTGCAGTACCCCAATTTTTTTTTTTTTAAAAAAAAAACACAGCGAAGCAGAACCTTCCCTTCCTCTTTTTCCTTTTCTGGCTTAGACCAACTCAGATTCAGCTTCAAGAACACGAGCCGCAAAATCCTCCAGTCATGAAAAAAACATAGTCACCAAATTGAAAGCATGAAAAACATCTCCGAATTGAAAGCCAATCCTCCAAATCAATTTTCAAGACCAACACGGAGCGAGATAGTGGCTCTGTCGCTGCTCTATCGCTGCAAACTTTGTCGCTGCTCTTTCTCTCTTTTTCAAGACCAACCCTAGATCTAGATCGAGATGGTGGCTTGTCGTTGGTGGTGAGATCGCGCGAGAGAGATAGATAGATAGATATATATATATATATATATAGGTTTTTGAGTTTTTGATGAGTTTTTGATTGCTGCTGCTGATGTAAATCTTGGGTATTCATTGTTGTTTGTTGTAAATTTGTTGTACAATTTGTTTAGTGATTTTGAGGAGCTTTTGTTTTATTCATTTTGAGTTCAATGTAGTGAAAAGATTTTTTTTTTTTTTTTTGATTGTCTGTTTGGTCTTAGAGAATTTGGTGGAGAATTCAAGAGAAATGAAATGTTGAATCTTGGATCTTATATATAATATTATTCTTTTAATCTAATCTGTAGCACTTGTGTCCTTTAAACTATTGGAGAATGTATTTAATTCCTTCTTCTTCTTTTTTCATTTTGGAAGTCTTTGAAGTTGTTATATCTTGGTTTTGGAGGTGTATGATTCAATCTAAATTTGTTGTGATTGTTTGTTTGCGCTTGTTTATGTTGAAAAGTTCTTTGGGAACTTGGAAAATTTGTTCTGGAGTCGACACTAGCCTTCTTGGGGGTCGACACCACCTTGTTACCTTGCTTTTAGTGTCTCTGCTGGTTGGTAGGGTCAACACCATGGTTCTGAGAGTCGATCCTTCCCTTACTGTGTTGTTCTGGTTAGGGTCGACACCACTGGTTCCAAGGGTCAACCCTTGTCCTCTGCACACATTATAGTGTCTCAGCTTTTCTTCCTAAGGGTCGACACCTCTATCTGAAGGGTCGACCCCTGTGAGTAAAATTCCAGATTTTTTGTTCGGTTTTTGGGGCTCTAATTTTGGGGGTTTGACTTATTCTTTTCTTTGACTTTAGAGCTATTATTCTACCACTATAAATAGACCCCAAACACACTTTTCTCATTCATTTTTTCTTTCTCTCTCTCTCTCTTCCCCCTTTAACCCGTGAATCCTTTTCTCTCTCTTAGAAACTCAACTTCCTTACATAGATCTCTAGATCTACTTGATTAGAGGCATCTTTTCACCTTGGTCCTTTGAGAAAAATTGTAGATCTCGTCAAGGGCTTTATTTTGATCCAAGAGTTTTGTGACTTCATCGACTTTGAGTTTTTCGAAGTTCTCCTCTTCGCTTCAAAAGGTAGGGTCTATTTCCTAAACTCAATATGTGTTTGGTAACATATTTGTGCCGTATTTTGTTATGTATATTTGGTAGTCATTTGGTATGATTTTTTCCCTTATTATTTGCTATTTCAAAAGATCTATGGATTTGGGTGTTTTGGGTTATACTTAGGGTGTGGATCTTGAAATATGAAAGGACTTTTCAAAAGAGTTTTTGAACAAGGTTATGATTTTGTAAAGTTAGTTGAGATATGTTGATATGATGACTCTCATTTACTCAAAAGTGATTTCGAAAGAAAATGGAGTTTTGTGAAATTAGGGGATTGTTGGGCTATGATTTTGCTACTACAAATACTTTTGGTAATCAAAATTTCACATGGATTTCTAAAAGTAGAAAAGCCTCAATTTGGAGAAAACCCTAAATGATATTGTTTTGGAAGTTGGATTGATTTGTGGTAAATGGTTTGGTTGGAAAGGAAATGGTTGTGGGATTTTGAAAATAGACGTTGTTACTCTGTTGGAAAAATATATCTATATTGTTATCTTTTAATTATTGCATTAGAGATAATTGTTTTAGCTATCGGTGGAAGATAGCATTGTCGTGTGTTAGAAATTGCATGTGAATTAAGCAATTTGAAATCATTCATATTATGGAGCATGTAACGAATTGTAAAAATTGAAACTGTATGTTTTGGAAAGAGGTTTTGAAAATTCTCACATAATGTTTTGGGACATTTGTATTGTTTTGGAAAAACAATATTTTGAGTTCAAAAATGTTAAGAGCACTAAAAGTAGAGCTCTAATGAGAGCTCTACTTATGTAGCAGTGGGCCCCATTCATAAATGATTTGATGTATATGTCTTCTTCTTTTTTTTTGGCTCCATGCCTCATAATTAGTGCCATTGTTAGAGCTCCAAATTTAGAGCTATGAATCATTATTGTACTATTGAAAAGGGTAGATAAAATGGTGAATCTGGAAAGCGGTGTGTATCACCAAATTAAGTTGACTTGTGTGTCTAGGGTGAAAGTCCCGAAAAATGCATGTATACATGGGTGCCGGTTCCTGCGGATGAAATATCCATAAAATGGCAATAGTAGGGCTTGCATAGTCTACATTTACATACGTCCCGTTTGACAGTTTCCTGCGGACAAAATATACGTGAAAGGTTGTATATGTTTTGGAGATTCACCCATTTATTTACTATTATGTCGGCTTTGGAACAAGATGTTTGGAAAATGGTTTTAATAATGTACTTGCTATTGTTTAGTGATGTATTCGCATGTGATTTAGTAATGTATTTGCTGGTTGGTATTGGAATACCTGAATTGGTTTTTTTGGGAAAGGATTTTCATATCAAACTGATGTTTTGGACTCGGAAAACATTTTGATTGAACATAAGGTTTCAGTAATTGGAAAGAAAGGGTTTTGTTGAGAAATCAAATGGATTTGAAAATATATGTGGGCATATTGTATATATGTATTGCATCATGATCATTTATGCTGGTGGAGCATGTTTAGTTTTTGAAATATTGTCTACTTGGCCTTATGC